CCCCAAAACCCCAAAACCCCAAAACCCCGTAGTCATAATATTATACTGTTATATGTAGATTAATTTAGTAAAAATACAATTTATTTATTAATGGAGGGAAATTCTGAGAATATTATAGCTAGTTCATAAGATTGTAACATTATAAACTTAATTTTCATTATCTATAAGGCTTAAAGATTTTGCATTTTAATGATGTCTATAACATAGAAGAGAGGTAATAACATCTTTATAAATTATTTAAATAGCGCCACAGGTTCCAAGGCAGCTAGATTTGTGACTGCTTTTAAAGAATATAGCACTTTTGATAAGCTTACATTATTTTCTGGAGATTTGTTCGCACCATCTACATGTAAATATTTAGATTTTTTAAACTAATAATGAAGTAAGTACATTTTACAAAGGAGAGCAGATGGTAGAAGTTTTTAATGCTCTCGATGTTGATGTATCATGCCTTGGTAATCATGATTTTGTAAGTTCATTAATATTTCGTGCCATACTCAGTATTACGTATGCTTACCGACTATAATAGGATTTTGGAGTAAAAAAGTTAGAAGATTTGATATCAAAGACATCAAGATCATAGTGGATTATCAGTAATCTTATTGATGAAGCAACAAATAAACCCCCTGGAGGTGTATAAGAATATGCAATAGTTTAGCATTAGGGAAAAAAGGTATGACTTATGGAATTTATACATAAATAGGTTGGAGTTATTGGATTAGCTGAAAAGGAGTTTATTGATTAGTTCACTACTCTTGTCACTGAAAAAATTGTTTATATTGATTGTGCTGAAAAATCAAGAGATTTATGCAGGATTTTGAAAGAAGAGCATCAATGTGATCTGGTTATTGCCCTGACTCATTTAAGAATCCCAAATGAAAGAATCTTAGCTCAAACTGTGCCTGAGCTTGATTTACTACTCGGAGGACATGACCATCTCTATCATATTGAAATGGTGGCTGATGTTTTCTTTTTAAAAAGTGGCACTGATTTTGAAGATTTTTCAGATCTAGTTATCAGATTTGATGTTTCAGAGGAGGATGCCAAGAAATATTTAGAACTAGACAATGTAAATTCAAAGAGATATCTCTATTCCAAAACTAAAAAGCTTTTATTTGAATGCGAAAGAGTAACAATCGATGAAAGATTTGCTGCTGATAATTACATTCATGATCATGTGATTAAGTATTCCTAAAAGTTTAATGAAGATTTAAACGTGCCTTGCGGTTATACTGAGGTTAACCTTGAGGGTAGATTTTAATGCATTAGAGTAGAAGAAACAAATCTTAGCAATCTTCTAGCAGATATTATACGAACTGAGTATGATGTAGATTTCAGTCTGTTCAACTGTGGCACTTACAGATCTAATAGTGTCCTAGAAAAAGGTTATATTACGTAAGTTTACTTATTACATAATATTTAATAGACATAAAATGATAATGGACTTACTACCAATGGCTGACAAAGTTGTAGTTGTCAAAATGTTAGGGTCAACATTCAAATAAGCATTAGAAAATGGTGTTTCAGCTTTTCCTAAGTTCGATGGTAGATTCCCATCAATATCAGGGTGCAGGTTTAGTTTTGATCCCACAAAAGAACCCCTTCATCGTATTAATCTTGAAGATGTAGAGACTGAGAGTGGACCATTAGATTCTACAAAGGAGTATAAAGTAGCTATGAAAGGTTTTCTTGCTTCTGGTAAAGATGGTTATATCATGTTCAGAGACGGTGGAATTACCTAATTCTTGATTGAAGACGAAAATGCTGTTTTAATTTAAGATGTAATGTATCAATTTTTCGAGAGCTTTGGTCCTGACAATGATAAAAATCACGTAATCAAGGATAGAATAAGAGCTGAGAGACTTAAGCTTTTCAATGCAAGTGAAGACAATGTTACTAAGGAAGGTTTTATCAAGATTCATCCAGTTTGTGATGAGAGAATAGTCAATTTATAATAAATCTAATAAAACTTAGAAGAAGTTGGAAAGATTCAGGAAGAAAATTAGGAAAAATTCTAGTGATTTGACAATTAATGATGATTTGATGTTAAAAAACTCAAAATTAATTTCATAATTAGCAATATTAATTAATTCAAACTATAAATTTTTTATTAAAAATAGAGAATTAATAACCTAAAGGGGGTTTTGGGGTTTTGGGG